ACCCTAATTTCAGCAGAAAAATCCAGATCACCAAAATAAAAGCCCAAATCCAGGACATAGAAGACAAAAAGATAATACAAAAAAATCAATGAAACAAAAAGCTGGTTCTTCAAAAGGATAAACAAGATTGATGGTCCTTTAACTAGACTGAGCAAGAAAAAGAGAGAAAAAACCCAAATAAACACAATCAGAAACACAAAAGATGAAGTCACATCTGATCCTGAAGAAATACAAAAGAACATTAGAGACTACTATGTACACTTGTATGGAAACAAACTTGAAAACCTGAAGGAAATGGACTTTCTGTCATCACACAACCTGCCTAGGTTGAAACAAGAAGAAATTGAGACCCTAAATAGACCAATAACAATCAAGGAAATTGACTACATAATAAGAAAACTACCTACAAAAAAAAAGCCCTGGACCAGATGGCTTTCCAGCAGAATTCTACAAGACATTTAAGGAGGAACTTATACCAATCTTACTGAAGGTATTCCAGGCAATTGAGAAAGATGGAACTCTCCCCAAATCATTTTATGAAGCTAACATCACATTGATACCCGAGCCAGGTAAAGACCCAACAAAGAAAGAGAACTACAGGCCAATATCTTTGAAGAACATAGATGCTAAAATTCTCAACAAGAGCCTAGTGAACCGGATTCAGCAACACATCTCAAAGATCATCCATCATGACCAAGTACGCTTCATCCCCGGGAAGCAAGGCTGGTTCAACATTCGTAAAACCATAAATGTAATTAAATACATCAACAGATGTCAAAACAAAAACCACAAGGTTATATCATTAGATGCAGAAAAAGCTTTTGATAAAATCCAACACCCCTTCTTGATAAAAGCCCTCAAACAGCTAGGCATACGGGGAACATACCTCAAAATAGTAAAAGCCAACTACAAGAAACCCACAGCCAGCACACTCCTAAATGGACAAAAACTGGAACCATTTCCCCTGAAAATTGGAAGAAGACAAGAATGCCCACTCTCACCCCTCCTGTCCAATATAGTATTGGAAGTCCTGGCTAGGGCAATCAGAGAAGAGAAGGCAATCAGGGATATTCAAATAGGAAAAGAGGAAGTCAAGCTATCTCTCTTTGCAGATGACATGATCGTGTACCTTGAAAACCCAAGAGAATCTGTCAAAAACCTCCTTACACTGATAAAGGACTTCGGCAAAGTCTCAGGATATAAAACAAATGTGCAAAAGACAATTGCATTTCTTTTTTTTTTTTTTTTTTTGATTTGGAGTCTCACTCTGTCACCTGAACTGGAGTGCAGTGGCCGGTTCTGGCCACTGCAGCCTCAACCTGCTGGGCTCCGACAGGATCCTTCTGCCTAAGGCTTCCGAATAGCCGGAACTACAGGCATGCGCTACCATGCCTGGCTGATTTTTTGATTTATTGTAGAGATGAGGTCTCACTGCCCAGGCGGGTCTTGAACCCGCGGGCTCAGGCAATCCACTCACCTCAGCCTCCCAAAGGCACAGGATTACAGGCTGAGCCACTGATCCTGGCAACCATCAGATTTCTTTACACCAATAATAAACAAACAGAAACCCAAATAAAAAGCACAATTCCATTCACAATAGCCACACACAAAAAAGAAATACCTTGGCATCTTCCTAACCAGAAATGTGAAAGACCTTTACAATGAAAGCTATAAAACACTGCTCAAAGAAATCAAAGATGACATAAACAAGTGGAAAAATATCCCATGCTCATGCATTGGAAAAATCAACATTGTGAAGATGTCCATCTTACCTAAGGCAATCTACAGATTTAATGCAATACCCATCAAATTACCAGCAACATTCTTCTCAGACCTAGAAAAAACAACACAGGAATTCATATGGAAACACAAACGTCCAAGAATAGCTAGAACAATCCTCAGCAAAAAAAACAAAGCAGGTGGTATCACATTATCAGACTTCAAACTTTACTATAAAGCTACAATAATCAAAACAGCTTGGTATTGTTAAAGGAACAGGCATATAGATCAATGGAATAGAATTGAGATTCCAGAAGCAAAACCTCAATTTCTCAACCAACTCATCTTTGACAAAGCCTCCACCACCTACCACTGGGGAGAGGAGAACAATTCAGTAAATGGTGCTGGGAAAACTGGCTGACCACATGCAGAAGATTGAAACAAGACCCCTATCTATCCCCATACACAAAAATTATCTCTAAATGGATCAGAGACCTAAATGTAAAACCTCAAACTATAAGAACCTTAGAAAATGAAGGACATACCCTCATGGAACTTGGAACTGGCATCCAATTCCTGAACAAAACCCGAAACACACAGGCCATAAGAGATAAGATAGAGAAGTGGGACCTTATTAAACTGACAAGCTTCTGCAAAGCCAAAGAAACCATCAAGAGAGCAGGGAGACAGCCTACAGACTGGGAAAAGTATTTGCCAACTCCAGGTCTGACAAAGGCTTAACATCTCGGATCTACAAGGTACTCAAACGTCCTGAAAAGAAAAAAACAAACAACCCCATTATAAAATGGGCAAAAGATATGAAGAGACACTTCTCAAAGGAAGACATCCGAGGAGCCAACAGACACATGAAAAATATTCAACCTCACTAATCATCAGGGAGATGCAAATCAAAACTACACTGAGATACCACCTAACTCCAGTCAGAATGGTAATTATCAGTAACTCAAAAAATAACAGTTGCTGAAGAGGGTGTGGCAAAAAGGGAACACTTATACACTGTTGGTGGGAGTGCAAACTAGTACAACCTCTGTGGAAAACAGTATGGTGATTCCTAAAAGCTCTAAATTGTGACCTACCATATGACCCTGCAATCCCTCTACTGGGAATATACCATGAAGAACTCAAATCACTCTATAAAAAAGATACCTGCACACGTATGTTTATCGCAGCATTGTTCACAATAGCAAGAGCCTGGAAGTAACCATGCTGTCCATCAAAAGAGGACTGGAGATCGCTGGAGCCCAGCAGGTCGAGGCTGCGGTGGCTGGGAGTGGCCACTGCACTCTAGTCTGGGTGATAGAGTGAGACTCTAACTCAAAAAAAAAAAAAGTGGTACATATACATGTTGGAATACTACGCAGCCATAATAAAGAACAAAATCATGAATTTCGCGGCAACCTGGATGGAACTATAGTCTATAATACTGAGTGATCTCTCACAGAAACAAAGATCTGAGTATCACATGTTCTCACTCATATAGTGGAGCTTGAACATCCAATGTAATCGTATAAGCATATGTCTGACAGTCGTGGGAAACTATGGGGGGCAAGGGGAAGGGAGATGGGATTAATGGTAGTAAATATCTGTCTGGGGATGGGGAGACACCTTATCAATAAGGGTGCCTGAACGAAGCATATTTGTATACCTAACCCTTAATTGTACCCCACAATATCATAATAAAAAATATTGATTAAAAAATGTATATTTTTATCACTTAATTTTTGGTAAGGAAAGATTTTTTCCCCCCTCAGGAGCATATTCTTTGATTTAGTTAACTGTTTGATGCTTCTAAAATTTAGATTAAAAGAAGTTAATAATATTTCAAGTTACTTTTATTTCATATATAATTTTTTTCATGTATCTGGATAATAATGTACTGAAAAGATAAGGAATTTGGTTTGGTACCAGAAATATAAACTAAAATATGCTTGACTTCTGAATATTTTGAATCTGAAATTTATTCCAGAACTATTGCTTACTAGTTTATTATTATAAGATTGAATTAGCAGTTCATGTGATTCATGTGACCTGGTATCATGGAGTGTTCCTTTTACCCTATGACTTTGATAAACTTTCGTGTTGTAAAATAATTTTCATTTAAAAGTTATGAGATGGGTTATAGTGAAAAGGGTCATTTCTGTGTCTCATTCCCCAGGTGCTCAATCTCTTTGGTGGCAATGCTTGGTATGCAGTTTCTTGTATATCTTTCTAGAAATACTCTATTCAGTCAAAACTATGTTAATATACTGGTTTATTTATTTTTTCTTTTTTAAAAGAATGAATGGTATCATATCACACATACTGTTCTGTGTTTTTTTGCTTTTTTCCCTTTAATTTCTTTGGACAGCATTGCATATCAGTAACTAGTAGTATTGCAGTGTAGTCATTATTTAATCAATTCCTCTGTTGATGGGCATTTTGATTATTAATAGTATCTTACTATAGTAACAACAGAACAAACAATTTTGTATATAAGTACATTACTTTTTGCAAGCACATCTCTAGGATAAATTCCTAGAAGTAGGATTTTTAGGTCAGAGGTTTATGCTTAAGGGCTATTTATTTGACTTTTTTGTAAAACTTTACTCATTTTTCTATTGAATTATTACTCTTTTTCTTACTGATTTCTACTAGGTCGTAGTCACATTCATGTAGATTAGCAGATGCTTTCTAGATATTATGGACACAACACTTTGTTTCTGTGGTGTACTGTTTTTTTTTGTAGTTTGCTGTTTGTCTTATCATTTTGCTAGTAATATTTTTAAAATTATGTAGAATTAACTGTTTTTGTTTTATAATTGGTAATTTATCAAGTTTTTTTTGTGTGTGTCTTTTGGCTTTGACTCATAGTAATGAAGTACTTTTCTATGCCAAGATTATCTTTAAAATTTTTATTTTTTGTGTGTTTTTATTGTGTCTATACCTTTTATTTCTCTGTACTTTATTTTGCTATAAATAATGGGGAAATTTTTTCCCATGTAATCAATTATTGCAAAATTATAATTAAAAAATCTGTTTTTCTCCAGTGATACTGGGCCACCTTTCTTAAATTTTCATTTGATCTATTTCACTATGTTATCTTTGTATTTATTCATATATCCAATGCTACATTGTTTTAATTCCCTTAACTCTATACTATGTTTCAATTTCTTCATTACTCTTTTTCAAGCTTTTATTGCCATTGTCCATATTCTTCTTACTCCTTACTTTAAACATTTTTGTGTCCATTTAATCTGAATTTAAGAAATTTTTCATTGTAGCTGAGGATACATGGTGAAAAATTAGAAGAACTCTTATCTGAAAGAGCTGTACAATTTCGGGCCATTCAACGTCGGTTGTTAACAAGGTTCAAAGATAAAACACCTGCCCCTCTCCAACACCTGGACACTTTGTTAGATGGAACTTACAAGCAGGTCAGTATATCAGTGACAGTTTTCTATTACTGGATATAATTTTTCCCTTTCTTTAGGGTCATGTACCAGAATATTAAGGTAAGACCTTTTTTTCCTGTGTATTTTGGAACAATGAACAGCATACAAAACTAAAACTTGAGTCAGATAAACCTAGATTCAAAGTCAAACTCTGCCACCTTCTGACCTTGTGTAAATTATATGAGATCCATTAGTTTCCACACATTACCTCCCAAGGTTGTTGTGAGGATTTTCATTCATTTATATAAAGCAAGTAGCACAATGCCAGGCACACAAGATGTGCTTAGATAGGTAGTCGCTAGTTTAATTAGTATAATTGGACAGTTCTTGGTACATTACATAATTATTACCATACCTCTCTAATTGTCTTTCCAAGCAACTGTCTTACACTTCTAATATTATGTCAGTTGATATTTTGAGATGGTATTTTTAAGTAGCCTAGTTGAAAAAATTTTAGTTCAAAAGAGTTTTTGTCTTCCTCTTCCTGACTCTCGTTCCACTCATGGTTTATCATTTGCTTGACTAGGGTGATCTGGCTCTTGCTCTTAAGTCATTATGTCTTCAAAAAGTATTCAAAATTATCACCTCTGTCTTGAAAAAAATAATTTAAAAAATTTTAATTTTATGAGTAGGGCCTCTACCAGTTCCACTGTAATGAAGTCTTTGAGTGACTATATGAAGATTTTTTAATGACTACATTGTGTCTTTACATACAGTGTTGGTGGTGTGAACATTCTGTTGATTTGTTGAATTAAATTTTTTATTGAGGTAATTGTATATTCTTATGCAGTTGTAAAAAATAATACAGAGAGATCCCATGTAGCCTTTCCCCTCTTTCCTCCAAATGGTAACATTTTGCAAAGCTGTGACATCATATCGCAGGCAGGATATTGATATTGACAAAATCCACACAGGTCTTGTTCTATTTATGTATGTGTGTGTGTGTATAATTTTTGTTGGGTGTATATTAAGTTCCATACAGTTTTATCATTTGTGTAGATTCATGCATACATCCACCACCACATTGCGGATGCTGAACAGCTCCTTCACCACAAGACGCTCCTTCATGCTGCCCTTTATTACCACGTTCTCTTCCTTCTCTCTTCCCCTACTCCATTCTATTGATTATGAAAGGACAGATTGAATTTTGTTTTCAGAATTAGTTTTCTTAGGGGAAGGAAAACTAGCTTACTGTATTTATTTTATTTTATTTTGTGTTGGTGTCTCACTCCGTCGCCCAGACTGGAGTGCAGTGGCCGCTCCCAGCCACCGCAGCCTCGACCTGCTGGGCGCCGGCGATCCTTCCGCCTCAGCCTTCCGAGTAGCCAGAATTACAGGCATGCGCTACCACGCCCGGCTGATTTTTTGATTTATTGTAGAGATGAGGTCTCGCCTGCCCAAGCGGGTCTCGAACCCTAGGGCTCAGGCAATCCACTCACCTCAGCCTCCCAAAGTCGCGGGATTACAGGCTGAGCCACCGAGCCCGGCTTATGTTTATATTGATAATACACTTGCTTCTTGAGATTTTCATGGTTATTTGAAAATTAGTAGTAAGTTTAGGAACAGTCTGTAGTAGCAGCATGATGTTGGAAGGAACATTGGCAGGGGTCCTCAAACTACCGCCGCGGGCCACATGCGGCCGCCGAGGACATTTATCCGGCCCCCCGGGTGTTTTTGCCGCCGCTGCCTGTCCTGCCTAGCAGCCGACTCGTCCGGGCCCGCAGTGCGCATGTGTGGAATGTGCGTCGCCCTCTCCGACTCCCTCCTTCTCTCTGTCTCTCGACTCCTCTCAGTCTCGGGTGTGATCGGACGAGTCACGAGCTTGCCTGTGCGGAGCCTGCTGCTGCCTGAGGACTGAGGTAAGAACAAGTTAGGATTTTTTTTTTTTTGAAGTTAGGAGGTCTATTTTTTTTTTTTTTTTAATTTTGCAGTTAGTAGGGCTTTTTTTTTTGCGGTTAAGGGGGGCCTTTTTTTCCCTGAAGTTAGAGAGCCTTTTTTTTTTTTTTTTTTTTTTAAGTTAGGAGAGCCTTTTTTTTTTTTGAAGTTGGTTAAGTTGCTTGGGGGTTGCATCACAGTGATAACGCAAATAGCGCTCAGTGCTAATGCAAATGGTTTTTTAAACTATAGTCTGCCCCTCCTACGATCTGAGGGACAGTGAACTGGCCTCTGTTTTAAAAGTTTGAGGACCCCTGAACATTGGGCTTAGAATTCAATGACCTCCGTGCTGTCACTTAGCTGTGTGACGTTTGGCAGTTCTCCTATCCTCTTAGAACTTCCATTTATTTCCCCTAAAATGAATTGATAACTATGTTGTTACCTCATCTCTACAATAAATTAAAAAATCAGCCGGGCGTGGTAGCGCATGCCTGTAATTCTGGCTACTCGGAAGGCTGAGGTGGAAGGATCGCCGGAGCCCAGCAGGTTGAGGCTGCGGTGGCCGGGAGCTGCCGCTGCACTCCAGTCTGGGCGACCGAGTGAGACTCCAACTCAAAGAAAAAAAAAAAAGATTATATTCCATAATGTATGTGAAAATGCTTTGTAAATTGTTCTGCAAATACAGACTGCCAATTTCTTTTGTGCTAGAGTAATTATATGACTCCATCTGTAGACACTAATGTCCTGTGTGTTTCAGACCTCTTTTCTCTCTTTAGTATATATGTATATTTTTAATTTCCTTTCTTCTTTTCCTCTTCCTTCCCTTTCGTTGTTTGATCACTTGTCTATCACATTCTTAGGCTTACTGCCATACGTTCTTGCTGTACTTGAGGCTGAAGATACTCTCAACCTTGTGTTTAATGATGCTGCATCTTTTTGTAGACACAATAGTGGATAGACATTTAAAAGGATTTGAAGAGGATACTTGATTTAATGCTTTATAAATTTTCTATGTATCGAGTCTTCCTCTGTCTTTTATATGTTTAAAGCACAGGAGTATATTTTTTGTTTTTTGTTTTGTGTGTACTTAGACTCAGGGTTGGAGTATTCCATGCTCTGTAATATTACATACAAGATGATCAAAACCCTGAGTTTTCACCTGAATGGTTGTTTTAATGTCCCTCTTTTTAGATCAACATAAAAATGAACAAAGTTTTGAAGGAAAAATGTGAATACTATAAGGAGCTTGACTTAGTTTTATCTTACATTAAATTTTATTATGTCTATTCATGTTAATTTATATTGAGGTGTTGATTGTTGAGTAAATTTCTTGAGCATAATAAAGTCTATTTTGATTCTTTTTAGTTGGCATATGAATATAATTTCCCAAAGAAAATAACAACATTATATATAATGCTAAATTCTCCATCTTGGTCCATTGTCATCTACTCAGAAATGTAATTGTTCTTATCTGTTTTTGTCTTCCTAGACTACTTCTTTGTATTTATTTATTTATTTGAGTTGGAGTCTCACTCTCTTACTGAAACTGGAGTACAGTGGCATGCTCATGGCTATCGTAACTTCAACCTGCTGGGCTCAGGTGATCCTTCTGCCTCAGTCTTCCAAGTAGCTGGGACTACAGGTGTGTGCCACTACACCTGGCTAATTTTTTTATTTATTGTGCAGACAAGGTCTTGCCAAGTTGCCCAGACTGGTCTGGAACCTCTGGACTTAGGCAGTCTTCTCACCTCTGCCTCCCAAAGTGCTGGATTACAGGTGTGAGCCACCACACCCAGCTCTTCTTGGCATCTAGAAATGAAATATTGTTTTGTCAGGCTATAAAAAAACTGCATAAAAAGTATCATACTATATGTATTAATTTACTTTTTTCCTTTTTTGTCTAACAGTATGTAATGGAGCTCTTTTCCTATTAATGCATAGATGTACTTCTCTAATTGTAATGGTTACATACTAGTATATAATATGAAGAAACTGTAGTATGGACAATCCACCATTTATTATGAGATGAATTGTAATAATAGTTTTAATGTTGAATCTGACACTGAGAAAAATCCCATTTAGTCAATTCTACTCTCATCAAACAGGCATATCATATACTTCATTATCACATGCCTTATGTTTTGTGTCTTTCTTATCTTTATACTTTGTCTGGGTAGGGAGCATAATTTGCTTGGTGGAGTTGCCAAGACTTTGAAATAATAGCCATACTAGTGCCTGTCCTTATACTCTGTGACAAAACTCCATTGCGTGACTGTTACTAGATTTTTATTTTTATTTATTCATTTTTTTTGTTAGCAGATTTTTAAAGTCTATTTTGATTCTAATGTACCAACTTAAAATTAGATCTAGTGCCTAATTGGAGTCCTTTTTTCTTACATGAAAGGATCTATAATTTTTCAACAAGGTGTTTTCTATGAATCATGTAAACTACACATGCATGAACATACACTAACATACATGCACGGGCTTCCTTACAGGAATATTGTATTACGGCTTGTGCTAGCAGTATATGAAAATGTCTGCTTTTCTAGGTATTATTGCTTATTTTCATCTTTACAATTTTTAACTGAGGCAATAATTTGATGGTTTTATTTCTTTCTTACCAGTGAGGCTGAACATTTTTCACGTGTTACTTAGCCATTTTTATTTATTTTTTTGATTTACATATGCATGCTCTTTGCTCAACATTTTTTTCAAGTTGTTAATCTTTTTCTTATTATTTTGTGTTTATTAAGAGTGGTGATCGCTTATCATGTTTTGATGCATAAAGTATTTTGTACACATTTAGGTATTTAATCTCTCTCATATATAAAAAAAGTTTTACCAATTTGTCATTGCCTATTTTTTTATTTATAATGTATTTTGGACATGTAAAGTTTAAAAAATATTTGCACAGTAAAATCTATCCATCTTTTTTCCTCTAGGTTTCTCTGCCTAGGGATTCCTTCCCTATGCCAAGAATACATGAATATCAATTTATAATTTATTCTAACAGTTTTATGCTATCATTCTTTAAATATACTTTTAAAATCCATCTGGAATTTATTATGCAATTTAGTGGGAAATTAATCTCCCTGACAAAAATG